GGGAGACTGAGAAGAAAAACGAGAGACAAGTGTCAATCTTGTATGCTACTGCCTTGTACAATTAGTTTCTGGTCAGTTTTGAGAACAGAATTAAGATCATACCACTTTAAATAAGGTCCCAATCAGATGGGTCTTTAGATCCATGCCAGGCATGAATGCTTGGTGGATTTAAAGGTAATGACCAGACAGCAACATCTGGGAAACGTGCCTCTTCCGTGATCATCCTGTTTTGCCACACTTCGGAGCCGTATTTAAAAGATACTAGTTAAAGTCTGGAGTTTTCTCTTCCAGACGGGCCAATTGTGGACTTTCCCCCGTTTGATCATTCCAGCACGCAATCCTCCCATCGGGAGGATTAATTGGGGGGGGGGAGATCAAAGGATTTAAAGGGCTTCAACTGATCGGCAATTAGCTTGTGGCTCGCCTACCAGCTGGAGGGCCCTTTAAATCTTTTTGCAGGGAGGGAGAGGGGCTGTCGCTGGCCACAGCTCCGCTGGCAAAAAGGCCCTTTAAAGGGTCTTTTTGCCAGTGGGGTGGGGGCCGCAGCACATGTGGGGCTCCTTTCCCAGCAGCAATTCGTCACTTGGAATTCAGGCCTGTGCTGCTGCCCCTGCTCATTGTGGCTGGCGACAGCCCCTCACCCTCCCTGCCAAAAGATTTAAAGCGCCCTCCAGCTGGTAGGTGAGCCACAAGGTACCTGCCGATCAGTTGAAGCCCTTTAAATCCTTTGATCTCCCCCCCATTAATTCTTTAAAATTCAGTTCTTATTCATTCCCAGTATCCTCAGAGCTCTGAATCTGAAGAAGCAATGAAGCAAAAGAACTGATCCTTGACTTAATTTTTAACTGACACTCAGAAATATAGTTAAGCCGTAAAGCAACAGAATTCAGTGAGCAAAGGCCAAACATGCTTTCTCTTCAAAGAGCCATACCTCTACCAGAGATAAACTTAATTCAGATTCTCACAATTATTAGTGTTCATTATAATCAGAACAAGACAGCTTGGGGTCATACATTTGTTTCAAAAGAAATAATTAATTTCTGATATCTTTGCAAGTTCAAACAGGGAAAGGGGAGGGACCAGTTACCAATTATGCAGCTACAGGAAATAGAGGGTTTTTTGTTTTTTTGTTGTTGTCAAGTTGCAGCTGACTTATGGCGACCCAGTGTGGAGGCAAGAGACTAACTTGCCATCGTCTGTCTCTGTGCCGTGATCCCGGACTTCCTTGGGGGTTTCCCACCCAAGTACTGACTATAGCTGATCAGGCTAGCCTGAGCTATTCAGGTCAAGGCATAGAGGCATTAGAAGGGTGAAAAGTGTCAAAATTTTCCAAAATAACTATCCAGACCAGGACAATTCCCATTACTACTCTCATTGCTGCTACAAATGTTGAGTCATTCACAGTGCCAATTCAGGTCAAGGCATAGGGGAATTAGAAGGGTGAAAAGCTGCCCAGTGTCAAAATTTTCCAAAATAACTATCCAGACCAGGACAATTCCCATTACTACTCTCATTGCTGCTACAAATGTTGAGTCATTCACAGTGCCAATAGCCCTCCTGCACAGGCTGATCGCTTACAGTATTTCCCCTCTACACTGCCAATTCCAGCCATTAAAAAAATTGTAGTATATTGCTGTAGACACTACAGGAATATACTACTAATTAAATAAGAAATGGTATGTGGAAGGGGAAGAAGAATGGTGCTGGATGTGATGCCAGATGTGGGCGGGGAAGTGTGCAACCCCACACCTTCCTGTCCACACTTTTCCCAAACCTGCTTTGGGGATCATATTCCCAGAAAGATCAACAAAAGCAGGAATCCACATTTACCTGACCAGCAAGCTGTTTGCTGTTGTTTTCCTTTAGAATATTCACTATTCACTTCCAAATCCTTAGCAGGCATTCTCCTCCAAAATATTCATTCCACAGTAGAGGAGTGATGTAGGATTGCCAACTCTGTGTTGGGAAATACCTGGAGAATTGGGGGGTGGAGCCTGGAGAGAGGAGGGACCTTAGAAGGGTATAATGCCATAAAGTCCACCTTCCAAAGCAGACATTTGCTCCAGGGAGACAGATCTACGTGTTCCAGATATCAAATGTAGTTGTTGTTGTTGTTCAGTTGCACAGTTGAGTCCGACTCTTCGTGACCCCATGGACCAGCTCCCGCCAGGCCCTCCGTTCTTCCGCCGTCCTCTGAAGTTTGCTCAGTTTCATGTTCGTTGCATCGATGACACTGTCCAACCATCTCATCCTTTGCCATCCCCGTCTTCTTTGACCTTCAATCTTTCCCAGCATCAGGGTCTTCTCCAGGGAGTGCTCCCTTCTCATTTGGTGGCCAAAGTATTTGAGCTTCAGTTTCATTATCTGGCCTTCCAGGGAGCAGTCAGGGTTGATTTCTTTTAGGATTGACTGATTTGATCTTCTTGCAGTCCAGGGGACTCTCAAGAGTCTTCTCCAGCTCCAAGTGCCACCTGGAGGGTGGCAACCCTATTATGAAGATAGACAGACAGACAAAAAGACATTGCTTTTGTTTAAAGGGGGAGCAGGCACAACTATGAGTATGTTCTCTCACAACATACAACTTAAATTCCGTTTATCTCCATGTGATCAGGTGTCCCCTTCAACAGTACTGTGTCAGTTCTCTTTCCGTTGTAACTCCTGCGAATAATGAGTATCACCCTTTAACTTCCCCATTTGTAGATAAAGGCCACAGAGTTATGCCTGTTTACAGTCAACTAGTTTCAGTAGGGTTTACATGGGAATGCATTGTGACCCCAGTGTTATCACATGGGTTGCAGTCACACTGGCAGATTGGCGCGGTATGGTGGCGCCCAGGGCTCTAGTCGGGGGGGAGCTCTCAGGTACGGAGCTCCGGAAGAGAACCTCTAGGGGGCGGGGCGGTCACGTGGTGAAGCCCCGCCCCCTTCTTTACCCCGCCCTCTGCTTCGATCCTCATTCCGTTTGGGAATGAGGATGAAGCAGGAGGGTAAGTAGCCGGGCCTTCTGACACACTTCCGGTGATGTCAGGGGGTGTGGCCTTCTGTCACTTCCGGTGATGTCAGGGGGCGTGGCATATGCAAATAAGTTATGCTAATGAGTTATGCTAATGAGCTCCGGCAGCTCTTTTTCTACAACAAGACCCCTGGTGGCGCCTCTAATTGTACCTGAGTAAAATGTTGCGGGGCATATCGTCCAGACAGCACACTCTGCTGCGGATTTCCCACGCAGCCATCCCATGGTCAAGCATCCACATTACTGCAGCGCCTCAGCCACAGAGCATGCTGCCCAGTCGGTTTTTTAAAATTGCAGGTGGATGTACACACATATAGGCAAAAAACTTTTAAAAACAAACAAAAAACCAGCGGTGGAAACAAATCTGCAGGTTCAGACGTCCCTTCTGGGTTCCTTTTGCTATGGGAGAGTTCAGAGATCTGAAAACCTGGAGGGAACTGCAAACAATCCATTAATACCTGACTTTCCCCGGTATCGGTTCATTCCACTTCCATTACGGAACAACTCAGGCTGCCAAAGACTGCGCCACGGTAGGCAGATGTTCTCGTCTGGAGGGGCTTATTTAATCCGCTCAGGTAACACTACTATAGCACCACAAACTGCGTGTGTGACCACAGCCATACAGAAGGCTGAAAATCCACGTTTTAATACAGAAAAAGTAGCACACTCTGTCAGTTAAGGTTGCCAACCTTCAGGTGGGGCCTCGGGATCGGCTGGAATTACAGCTGATCCCCAGACCACACAGATTCATTCCCCGGAGGGAAATGGCGGCTTTGGAGAGCAGACACTATGGCAGTATATTCTCACTAAGCTCCCTCCCCAGAGACCACCAGAAAATCTCCAGGAATTTCCCACCCAGAGGTGGCAGCCTGACTGCCACTGATGGCAAGTCTTTTGGGCAATTCTGTGCCATAAGCCACATCCAATAGTTCCCTTCTAGAGTGCCCTACACAGCCCTTCATGCTTTGGTGTGGGTCTTCGCAAAGTTTGCCTCTGACTTAGAGTCAGAGAGCAGGTACCAGAGCAGTGCAGTATGGAAGAACCTAGACTTTCCTAGGTCCAGAATATAGCATCCCTGCCTAGAATATCCCAGTCGTACTTCTTCTACAGCCATGTGGCACCCATACCAACAAGTTTGTTTTTCTTGAAACATTTCTATCCCATCCTTCCATTTTTATATCAGATCCCCGGGGTGGTTTACAACAAAAGTAAAAACTAATATCAAACTGTAAAGAAAGAAAAAATAGAACCAGTAAAAAAATTAAACATGTATAAGAATATCATCAGCCACTAGTGAAATTCAATAGTCAAATAGCCCGCCAAATTCCAAAAGTTTCAACCATCACCAACCAACCCACTAGTTGCTGGACCACCCGCACACAGTGTATCCATAAAGTCTGGAAGGCAATCTTCTCTATCTTTCATTCTACACTTGTGATCATGAACCGCAACCACCTTGTTTAACTGTTGCCCAAGACTGACAGAAGGCACTTGTGGGAGTCCTGTGCACTCAGCAAGAAAACAAATTGTCATATGGGTTTTTATCATACACTTCTTTTTGATGATTTAGGACTGGTTACTACTGAGGAAATAGGGCACTGGGCCAAGATATCCCTACATGTTCTACTCTGCGCTGGCTGCTCTGGTGTGATTTTGTGTTTACCAATGTGGCGTTGATTTCGCTTCTTTTTTCAAACCTCTGTTTTGACGTTTAAGGCTGAGACAGCCCTTTTCGCCCCACTCTGAGGGTGTAGTGTAGATAGATGCCAGTGAGTAATAATTTTTGGTTTTAGTCCCCCCCCTTCCTCTGCAAATGCCTGAGCATGTGTGTTCACCTCACAAACAAACTACAAAAGACAGGAGGGAAGGAGGAAGGGAGAGGGAGAGAAAGCCAACAGGTTGATCTGGATTACCTCAACAGTCACACCCTCCCTACTTTATGAACATAGCTGAACAGGTGTTTGTAATTCATTAGCTAAACTGAGCTCAGCGCAGACAGGAATTAACTCTACGCTTCTTCTCCCCAAGGTGCTTCTTGTCTGTCTCAGTAGCAGCAGCCAGCTGGCCCAGTGCTTCTTCTGGCTGTCTCGTACCCACTATGACTAGCCACCGTTCCCGGGAATTCAGTAGCATCAGCAGCAGGTCTCCTGCTTCACAAGGGGCTGCTTGTTGCAGGAGGAGAGAACGGTCGTACTCCCCATCTGCAAGATATGGGGCCTGTAGCAGCCACACTGGTGGTCTCACCAGCAGGCACAGCTTCAGTGCCTCGAACCTCACTGGATATGGGAGTTCTGCCTACCCCAAGGTCTCCTACAACAAGCGACTGCTGACTCCCCTGAACCTGGATTTTGATCCCTCCATCCAAGCGATACGGACCAAAGAGAAAGACGAAATAAAGACTCTCAATAACCAGTTTGCTGCCTTAATTGGAAAGGTAAGACAAAGCCCCTTTCTCTTCACCGAAGTGTAGGTCAGGGCCTACGCTGTTGAGGCAGAAGTAGGAGCTGGCCACTTCAGGTGGCAAACTGCTTCCACAAAAGGATGCCAAATTGTCATCGATTTATCTTGCTCTTATATTTTTCTGCTGATCAGACTGCATGCACAGTTCGTGATGTTCAGGCATCAAAATGTTTTAGGCCTGCTCTGGTGCATGCCAAAGGGTTTCTTTATAAAGCCTTCCTGAAATATATAATCCTGTATTTTATTTCATCTACTGCTGTGCTGTGCCTATATGAATCTCAGGTAAGTGACAGCACTGTAATATCCTGGTCTCCCATAACTGATAACTTTGCTTTATTGTGAGAAGGGGGTAGCCGTTTACCTGTTGTAAATGAGATTTAAACAGATGTGCATTCTAGCATCGGCGATAAGGAAGCATTGCTGTAGAGTATCAAAATAAGAAAATAATAAGTGAAAAGCTTGTGAAATAGTCGGGAGTTGTGGTTTGGTAGAGAAACATGGTGAAAAAAAATATTTTTAGCCCACCCACCACTGGAAATCCACACAGTAGTCATAAAAGCAAGTGAATGGGCTAGTGGGGGGGGGGCACATATTTCAGTGACAGACTACTCGAGTTTTAATGAAGGGAAATGTGATATTACCTGGGCAGAATTGTTCCTTAATGGGAAGTACCTAGATTTTATGTGACAAATCATAGCTGTTTTTTAATACAGTAAATTTTAATGCTATGTGGAAAGGATTTAAGAGACATAAAATGCACGTTAAGGCTCTGACTAGCGGTCCTTTGACATTAATGCCAAAGCTACAAATTTATGTTAATTTTATGCCGGTTTCATGTTTATGGCTTGCCTCAATGAATTATGGGAATTGTAGTTTGATGAGGGTGCTCAGTATTGTCCTCCTGCTCCTTCCTCCACCTCACAAAGCTACAGATCCCAGGGTCCTCTAGACAAGGAAGTGACAGTTAACCAAGTTGTTTTTGTAAAAGTAAGCCCTAAATATTAGGGAATAAATATTATGGTGATTTAGGGAATGAAGCCCTTCCCTCACACCATAGTCCATTTTCTATTGTTTTGTGTATCAGTGTCTCCTGGGTAGGCCTATGCTTTTGGGGACTATTGTTGGCTTAATTTTTATGTATTTATTTATTTTTTGCTAAGGATGCTATAGAGACCACAATCAAGACTAGAGCCACAGTGCTGCATAATAATCCACAAACATTTCTGTGAGAAGGTTATACCTTTCTTGCTTATTTATGTTACTGGCCTTCCTTTCAAATAACTCTTAGCTGATTTTTCTCAGCTTTTGGTTTTTGTGCATGGCAATTATATTGATCAGAAAAATAGGAGGAGGACTCAGCATAGGTCATCCCTCCCTTCCCTATATCCCTTTATCATCACTGTTACCGCTGGAAATAGATGTCATTACACATATTATGCAGAAAAATTAGGTAGACTGGGGTAATGATTCTTTCTGAACTGTACCATTTAAGACTGCACTTGAGTGACAAACACATAACCACCATGGATAAATTTTTAGCTTTCTCTGATGGTATTTGTTTTTTCTGGAAGATTCAAAAATTAGACATTCCTCTGCAGTCTAGGCCAAAGCGCTATCACCTAAGGGCATCGCTGCATTCTGTGTAATCTGTAGGTTTGCCCATTGTAAGACCCTATGACAGGCAACATAGCTGGTCTCACGTAGACAAGTATAGACCAAGTTATATTCCTGCTTGATATTTTAACCAGAGGGACAGGAATGAATTGATGGCCTAACAGATTGCGGAGTAGAGACCTCTAACGTGTCTCCTAGAAGTCTAGAGAAAAAATGCTGCAGTAAGCAACTTTTTCCTCCCCTTATCCTGTGAGGAAACCTTTTGTGTATTAAAAATCCACAAGGAAGGCACAGTGTTGTTTTCAGAGTAAAACAGTTTGACTACCCAAGGCAGGTTCCTGCAAAGCCCTTGTGTTCCGTAAACAGATGGTAATCTCCTGAAGGACTGAAGGATTGCTTCACTGACGTGTCTAATGTAGGCGACCTGCCAAGGTTTAAAAAAGGGGGGGAAATGTACACAGTCTCACGTTGGTATCACTCTGATTTAATTTGAAGAGACTTTTTATTCCTCAGCTATGCAAATATTACACCCAGTGTTCATTAACATGCAAATAAGAATATGTACAAGCTTGCTACCTGGTTTGTGCATTACAACACAGGTACTGAACCCAGGACCAACTAACCATACACATTTGATTCAATCTTTTAAAATACTGGTCTTGAGAATACAGAAGTGTATATTTCAAATTCATTTGAACAATAGGCACTTTGGGAGCCAGTGCGGCATGCTTTAGTGGTTTTCAAGCTGTGTTCTGTGCTCATCTGTTCCCAGGAAACTGATCAGGGTACCTCATTATAAAAGTGAGTAATGGGGGACAGACGTCCATGAAATAACAGCTTGCCTTCCCAATACTGATCTTCTCCTGCAATGCGTAGCTCCGGAGGACTATTGGGTGTGTTTTTAGGGTTGCCAATCTCCAGCTAGGGCCTGGGGTTCTCCCAAAATTACAACTGATCTTAGAGTTGTGAACTGATCTCCAAACTATAGTGATTGCTTCCTCTTAAGGTTGCCAGGTCCCTTAGAGATGCTGGCAGGGGAATGGATGGGGGGCATTCTGGGAGCCAGAAGTGTCCCCTCACGATGTGCCGACATCACAGGTGGTGATGTCACCCAGAAGCGATGTTGCACACCATGCCTATGTCACCTGGAAGTGATGTAGGCATATCAGTGACGTCGGGGGTGATGCTCTCGTTTTTTGGGCAAAACTCTATGGTAAAATTGGCCTCAAGGCGTAGAGTTTTGCCCAAAAACCAGAGTGTCACCCCAACATCACTGATGTGTCTACATCACTTCCGGGCGGCATAGGCATGTCATGCAATGTTGCTGTCCAAAAAATCCAGGGGATCCCCTGCTACAGTGGGAGACCTGGCAACCCTACTTCCTCTGGAGGAAATGGCAGCTTCACAGAGCAAACTCTGTGGTATTCCCTATATTCTAGGAGAAATCCCTCCACAAATTCCTCCCTCCACAGTCACTGCCCCCAAACTCGGAATTTCCTAGGCCAGTGATGGCAAAGCTATAGGGTACACTGTTACCTCATGGAGGATAGTGAAGCCAGATGCTGCCTGGCCATCATTACCCTGCATATAATGTTTTCCAAGATCCTCTGAAGCCTTCAGCGGTTTTGTAGCATGTAGGCAAGCATCCTCAGAGAACAAGGGTATATGAGAATGCAAGGTCTGAAAGCTGCTGGGCTTCGGCCTGAGAGGCCAGAAGTCCATGTTAACGTCCCACCACCCCACATCTCCTTTCAATGTTTCCCTAGTAACTTTTGGTGAAAGAAAACACATGAGATGTCATTAGCCTTAGAGCTTCCTTGGCCCCTTCACTCCAATTCAAGTGTGAGGGGAGTGAGGAAAGGAAGCGTAATGACATCATGTCATTACGCATCTTGAAATAAACGTTACTCAGGAAATGAAGGGAGGAGACCTGCAGCTTCTGCCTTTAGCAGCAGAGAAGCACATAAACCTCGCAAGATGTAGTTTGAGCCTTGGGTTCAAATTTCATCTCTGCTCATTCATCGGAGGGGTAGAGAAAGGACGTATGGTGACTGAACTTTTCAATCACTTATATGGTTAGCAGCAGTTTCTGCAGTCATGGCTACAGTGTTATTTTCAGCAGTTGTTAACGCAATAATTGAGAGTTGTATGCATGGTCTGCCAGTTCACACAATAAATGATTGTTTCCACACTATGTTTACCCTGGCTCACAAACCACAGCAGGGTCTTTCAGAGCATCCAAATCACACAGTCCTCTCATTCTCTCCCATTGCCTTCCACTGTTTCCCTTCCTTTGTTCTAATGTTTTGAAATCTTGCTTGAAGTTGATCTTTCCATAAAGCAGCAGATTTCCAAACCTTTCAACACACATCCAGCATCATTTACCCACCCTATTCTCTCGTACCTGCCATTCCCCCTGCCCAATGCAACTGGTGGGCTTTAAAAACTTTTTTAGTAAGTATATTGTTATAACACTATAGTAATATACTTGCTTCCAGTTTATTAATTAAAAAAACAGCAAGAAGCTGTCTAGTATTGTGTGTTGGGGGGGGGGTACCTGAGTGTGGAGGGAAACCAGAGAATCTCCCCGCTTGGATGCTTTGTAGTACATGCCTTTGCATTCACAGTGGTCATGAGTCAACAAATGGGGAATCTTCTCTGTGCAGAAGCAGCCTATGAGAGCCTCTCCAGAGACAACCAAAACCTTGAAAAAGAAAGGTTGACTTTTCATAAGTCAATGTATTCTCAGCTTTAGCTCTTCATTTTAATATCACAGGAGTGTTGTGTGGATAAATGAGGTAGGAATTGTAAATACAAAGCATTCAGTGTATTTAAAGTGCCATAGAAACTATTAATCCTAATGCAACTATTTAATGGTCCAGTCCTAAGCATTGCTGCACTAGCAAAAACAGTGTGTGATGCCTCAGCTGCAAACCAATACCACAGTCTGACACATCACCCTGGTGCCAGAGAGCCAATTTAGGTGAAGCATGTCTGTGCCAACAATGTCTCCCTGCCCTGATGTGGCATTGTTAACATCACTTTTGCTGCCTTAGGGCCAGCTCTCACCATTTTGTGTACAATTTCACAGGTGGGTACAGTTTTGCAAACCTCAAATAGCAGTGGGTAGATTTTGCTGCAACAGCATCCTTTCTCTGAGCAGGACTTTTGGAAGGTTCCGGCCTGCAAACAGGTAAGATCAGTAGGTGTCCATACTTGAACATTGCCTGTGTTGGCCCCCATTTGGAGGAATAATTATGAGGTTAGGAAGACTCCCACATTACTGACGTCTCACAGAATGTGTCCGATGGAATTTTATAGAAGGGCTTTCTTCTGAAGGGGTGGCTATTTTAATATTTT